CATGGTGGGCCCGTTGTCCACCACCACCACCATCAGCTGGATGGGGAGAAGGAGGTGGAGGACGAGGAGGAGGAGGAAGAAGAGGAGGAAGAGAGGAGGAGGAGGAGGAGGAGGAGGAGGAGGAGGAAGAGGACCCCCTCCCCCTCCAACTTATGGTGGTGGTAGTGGAAGACAGGCCCATCAACCTGGAAGATGGAGGCAGAGGGTGGTCAGGGGTGGTGGTGGTGTATATCGGTTCGGGCGCTTTCGCGGGACATCGTGCGCGCCCGCATCCCGCGCGCCAGCTCCTGACCCCCCTCCCAGGCGGTGGTGGTGGTGGTGGTGGTGGCGGTGCGCTTCCTGCTCCCAGGCCCTCGGTCGCCTCCCGCCCCCCTCCCCAGGCGCACCCCCCGCGTCGGGCCAAGAACGCGGCGCGGGAGGTCTCCGGCCGCTCCTCGGCCTCCCGCTCCGAGGGGAGGGGCTCGAGGTCCAGAGTCCTCTCTTTCGGCGTCTGGGGGAGGTCTGTTCCGGGATGTCTTTTTGTTACTCTTGCCTCGTCGGGGGCGGCCACGACGGGGGTGATGACTAGAGGGGGCTGGATATCATGGCCCGGACCCGGTCCCTCCTCCGAGGGCCCCCTTTCTCGAGGGAAGAGCACGGGGATCATGAACAAGATGTCGCGGGATCATGTCGATGTTGATCTTGGTCATGGTCCATGTCGGCCGTCGGCTGACGCTGACCAAGCTCGACGTTCTCCAAGATCGACACGACGTCTCAGCGCTCAGTTTTGGTCATGGCCCCCGTTCCCTTCCCATCCGCACACCCCCTCTCTGGCAGGTTTCTCATCTTGGCGTTCACCTGCTTCTATTATCCTATGGTCGCCGCCGCCTCCGCCAGGCCCCCTTCTCATACTGATCCGGGAGCGAGTCAGGACGGGGTGGGTCACTCTTCGCAGTTTGGAGCGCTGCGACAGTACAGCCACATCTAGCCTTCCTCCTCTGCCTCCTTCTCTCCTGCCCCCCCTCCTACCCACCCCACCCTTTGGTCGTTGAGGTCGGAGTCAATTTGAGAGCGGCTTCCACCCCGAGAACTGTAGGGCCTGCTGATTCCTTTCGGTTCCTGATGGCGGACCCTTCAAGCGACTTGGGCTATCCTCCGATTGCAATCCGAGGCCGCTGCCTTGGACACCACCCCCGCGGGGGGCCACAGGACCGACGAAAGCAAGGGGCCACCCCGCGACGACTGCGGCGACGAGACGGCCACGACGAAGACGCCAGGCGAGGACGCACGGATGTCCAGAGGGCACCCTTGCGTCCTAGCCACAGCCCTTCCGGGCGTTGTCAATCCGCCGCCCCAAAGTGCCAATTTCGGTGCACAAGCCTTTGCGTCGTCACTGCCCGGCCTTGCCATAGATTTCGGCCGCAGTTGTCCGCGGCAAATCCCCACCGACGTGCTCCTTTACTGTGGTGTGCGCCAGCGCTGCATTGCACGCGGATGCCGCGGTGCGCACAGGCGCCGCGGTGCGCACAGGCGTTGCGATGCCCTCGAGCACGGTAATGTACACAGGCGCTACGTTGCACACGGCCGTTGCGGCGCACGCATTCGCCGCGGTGTACGCAGGCGCCGTGGTGCACGCAAGCACTGTGGTGTACACAGGCGCTGCGCTGCACGCGGCTGCTGCGGTGTGCACAGACGCTGCGGCGTACATGCGCGCTGTGGTGCACGCGACACTGTGGTGTACACATGCGTTGTGGTGCAGATCGCCGCCTGCGCGCTGCTCCTACGTGGCCTTGGCTATCCCTAGGCATTCCCGGACGCTGCCAGCGCGGAGCGCGACGTCACCTGGGGGGGGGGCGGGCGCGGGGCCGGCGACGGCCGCTATCGCGGATTTCCTCCCCACATCCAGAGTGGGTTTCTTGTCTGCTCTAGACACCCCGCGCAGGAACAGGATGGCCCTCTCTTCTTACTCACACACTCACACACTCACATCATCATCGCAGCATCAACATCGCTCACACACACGCTCAGCTTGAGGAGGTCTCAGGCGGGTGCCTCGTCTGTGAGTGAACACCCTCACTAATCACTATCACCATCGTCACCATAATCACCCATCACCCGCCACAATCGTCAACATCACCATCGTCACCATCACCCATCACCATCGTCTTCATCATCGGAGGAAGTCTCAGGCGGGAGCGTCGTTTGTGAGTGAATAACGAGCAAGTCTCAGGCGGGAGTCCCCTTCTTTATGGGGCCCGCAGCTCATGCTCTTTGAATCCGAGGCGGGTCATCCTCAAACCTGCAACTGTCGTCAATTTGGGTCTCCTGAGGCTTGAATATGGAGGAAGTATCAGGCGGGAGCTTCTTCTATGCGTGAATTGCGAGGAAGTCTACGGCGAGCGCCCCCTCTTTGGGGGCTCCGCAGCTCATGTCTTGAATCCGAGCGGGTCATCGAAAAACTTATAACTGTCGTGATTGCTGGGCCCCTGAGGCCTGAGCATGCGGGAAGTAGCAGGCGGGAGCCTCGTCTGTGCGTGCATAGCGAGGAAGTCTCAGACGGGAGTCCCCTTTTTATGGGGCCCGCAGCTCATGTTCGAATCCGATGCGGGTTATCCTCAAACGTGCACTTGTCCTCACTTCATGTTTGATCCCCTGAGGCTTGGGTATGGAGGAAGTGTCAGGCGGGAGCCTCGTTTGTGATCGAAGTGTCAGGCGGGAGCCCCCTCCCTATGCTGCCCGCAGCTTTATTTTTAACTCGAGCGGGTCTTCGGAAATTTCGTAATTGTCACCATTTGTGGGCCCCTGAAGCCTGAATATGGAGGAGGTATCAGGCGGGAGCCTCGTCTGTGAGTGAATCGCGAGGACGACTCAGGCGGGAGCCCCTTCTTTACGGTGCCAGCAGCTCATATTTTGAATTCGAACGGGTCATCGAACAATTTGTAGTTGTCATCAGTTTTGGGCCCATGAGGCCTGAATATGGAGGAAGTTTCAGGCGGGCGCCTCGTCTGTGAGGGAATTGCGAGGCATTCTCAGCTCTGAGGCCCTTTTCTATGGGGCCCGCAGCTCATGCTTTGAACGCGAGAGGGTCATCGGACAACTTCTAATTGTCGTCACTTTTGGGTCCCTGAGGCTTCAATATGGGGGAAGTATCTGGCGGGAGCCTCGTCTGTGAGTGAAAAGCGAGGAGGTGTCAGGCAGGAGCCTCGGAGCCTCCGCCTTATAGGGTCCGCAGCTAATGTTCGAATCCGAGGCGGGTCATCCTCAAACCTGCAATTGTCGTCAAGTTTGGGCTCCTGAGGCCTGAATGTGGAGGAAGTATCAGGCGAGAGCCTCGTCTGTGAGTGAATTGCGAGGAAGTCTCAGGCGGGTGCCCCCTCCCTATGGGGCCCGCAGCTGATGTTAACGAGAGCTCGCTTGCGGAAGATGAGAAGGGAAACGGTGACGACGAGGACGGCGACGACGACCAGGTGCCGGAGGAGGAGGACGCTGACGACCAGGTGCCCGACGACATGGGCCAGAGGGAACGCTGCATGCCGATACGCCGCCATCCCTTTCTAGGGAGCGGTGGGCCGTGCAGTCGTAGCCCCCTTTTCTTCAGGGGCGTGTCACACGAAGGTTTTCATATGCACTCGGATTCTCATTCATCGGTTTCTTGATGTGCAAACAAGAAGGTGCGAGACCATACCTTGAATCTGCATTGACCTTGAGGATCATGTCCAGAGCACGTCATGACTGGGCGTCCGGTGGTTTTCCCTGCGCGTCTGCCGCGCCAGTCGCCGTGTCGTTCTGCCCGAACTGGGGCTTGTCTAACGCTATCGGGGGCGGATGCCAGCAGTTTTTGGGGGCGGAGCAGCTCGCGGCAGAGCTGGGCTTCGTGCTGCCCCCCGCCTGAGCGCGGCGGCGCCCCGCTCGAAGCCCGCGGGGTTGTCCCAACGGCTTGGTCTCGCGCGCCGGCGGCTCGCGGGGTAGCCCCGACGGCCTAGTCCGCGGCGTTGTCTCAACGGCTGCGGCGCAATGTGGCAATTCGGGGTTGCGCCCGCGCTGGCGGAGGCAGAGACGGCGCCGAGGAAATCGACAGGCGCGCTCATGCAACAGGAAAGGGAGGAGGTGGCGGGGCGTGACAAAAAAACAGGAGGGCGAGGAGGAGACAACGTAGGGAGCGGGAGGAGAGCCTGCGCCGGGGCGAGGGGGAGAATGACGCAGAGGAGACAGCGAGGATGCCTCAACACTCACGAGGACGACGGCGAGGGCCATGTCCAGATTCGCCGAGAGGATGCTCATGCGGGGTCCTACCGCTTGAGTAATGTCTGTTTCGCTCTGGCACGGCCAGGGCGCGCTGGCAGATGTCCGGCTGCCTGGGCCGCGTGGCCGCTCCCGTCTCGGGGGCCGCTACTGTCAGGAGGGGAAAGGAAAAACACAGACACAAATCGTCCCCTCCCAGGAAAGTATGGGAAAATATAGGAAGTGGGGGGGGGGAACAAGCCTAGAACATATGGGAAAAGATGGGGAATCCGGTCATTTGTGTGCGTTTATTTGTGTGTCCCAGGGCCCCCTTCATACTGGCCCGCGCTCCCATGTCTGCCCTTGGCGCCTTCTCGGCGAAAGCTGATACAGCCACTGGTGTGCCAATGTTGCCCAGGGTATCGCTAGTGCGGGTTGGTGCGGGTTCCTTGGGCGGGCTCCCGGGGCGGAGTGCTTGTCCCGGACTGCGCTTCCTGGTTCCCCTTTTTCTTTCTTCGGCCTCTTCTTTTCTCTCCCCTCCCTCCTGTTCCCCCGTGTGGCGCCGCGTGTAAGGGATGTCGTTTGCCGTTTTTGGGGCTTCAGGCATATCCGCACGAACGCAGAGCAGCTGCATTGTCGAATGTGTGTCCAGGCCACGGTTCATCGCATGAGTTTGACTATTGCAGGTCGGTTTGTACGGTGTTCCTGGTCTGCGTAGCGTTTTGTATTCGCGATGTGGTTGTGCCACCTCTTGTGCTTCCAGTCCCAGATTGCGAAAGGGAAACAGAGCCACATGTTTTTGGGAGGATGTGCTCCTGAACGCTGGCGGAAAATAGCCGCAGACACCGGCCGGGTCCGCGGCAGGCGTTCAAGCTCCTGTTGTCGACTGCGGGGCAGGATTTGTCCGCCTGATTTGTGCGTACCGGCCCTCCCTCAATGTCAGGCCCATCCCCCAGTTCTTCCAGTTGGCAGCGCACGTCACCCTCAAGGTGGAGCCTTCCAGTCCCACTGGCTGATAACTGCCTGCATATCCGCCCCCATTTTCCCGCCTAGGTGGTGCCAGCTCTTCAGGCGAATCACAAAGGCCATCGCTCGCTGAACTGCTCACCTGCGTGGTTGGACGTTTCATTTGCACGGCGTTTGATGCAGCTCGCTGGCTGCACGCTTGTGTCGCCGAGTGTGTCATCGTGCTGATGTGTTCGCTCCCTTTCCTCCCCTCCGAAATTGCATTGGAAACAAGTACTCGAGGACGGGCCGCAGCCGACGCATATTGCTCAAATTACTATTTGTTTCCTAGCCGCGGTATCCGGGGTCGACATCAAGCCTCGGGATACATATTTTTGAGGACGGGGCTAGGACGAGGATGAATCCGTTCCAGAGCGTTCCGGAACGCTTTCGGTACGTTCTGGAACGGTCTGAAAAGGCCGCGGCGCCCGAAACATTTTCGAGAGCCGTCAGAATTCAGATATTCCCGATTTATCACCACCCGAACTTGTTCTCATCCTGGCTTCATCTTATCTTCGAACTGGCATTCAGGCAACTAGCTGTTTTGCCCTGTCCAGGGCCGATGGATATCGCAGTTTTCACTGATTTGTCGGTCCACATGAACCTGCCGCTCCTCACCGTGTGCCGGAACGTGTACTGCGATGGCATCTACGACTTGTGCCACATAGGGCATAAGAACCTTTTCCGGGAGGCAGCTACCAGTTGTGTTTCGCTTCGTGTACATATCCATGTATACATACATACATACATACATACATACATACATACAGATATGATGTCTTTCAGTACGAGGTCTTAGAGGGGGTGACAACAAGTACGAGGACCAGGATGGTCCGAATATGATGGAGTGGAATGCCAGGCCACACACATTGCCTCAACAAAACACGTACTCTCATACAAATCTGCTAAGCACACAGGGGCTCTACAGCACAAACTCCGAGCACGTGTGCCCATACATGGCCTTGTTTCCTCCCTCGTTTGCGCTTATATTCGGCCACCAGGCTTGTGATACGTTTGGCTCTTCCTCCTATGTTGCCGTCTGGCTTTACATGCTACTGGTCGAAGACGCCATTCGGCGAAACACCGCCGCCCCCTTCCTTTTTGGAAACGCCTGTATGGTCGAACGTGTGTCCGTTTTCTTTCCACGTTTATGGGCTAGGTGTTTCCCAGGCGGAGGAGGAGAAAGATGATGAGTAGAGGGAGGACAAAGAGGATAAGGAGGAACAAGAGAAGGCCTGGGGGCTTCCTGTGGACCTCTTGGGGCATCTGAGGATCCTCGTGGGGGGCTCCTGGGGCCTCTTGGCGGGGCCTCTTGGGGGCCCCAAGGCGCCTCTTTGGGTCCTCTTGGCCTTCGAATGCTGTCCTGGGGGCCTCTCTGGACCGTCATGAGGCCATATTGGGCTGCGGTATGGCCGCCTTCGAGGTCGAACATCCTTCAAAACACTGTCATGTATCAATAACTGTGGTTTCTTCGGGTTCTCCTGGAGCGCCTCTCGGAGCCTGGGGGCTTCGTTGGCCTTCTTGAGGCCATCTCAGACAGTCTTGCGTCGATCTTGAGCCGTCTTGAAGGCATCTTTGGGTCATGCTGGGCTTTCTTGGGGGCATCTTGGACGTCTCGGAGGTGTCTTGGGAACGTCTTGGAGTGCGGTCCTGCGTAGACCCAGCATAGCTACTGCTTGGTCTGCCAATGTCGCTACGTTTATGCGGTCTTGGGGGTACCCAAGCTGACTGCGGCCTTGCTTGGGCTCTGACTGCATCCGTCGCGTAGATGGGTACAGCCGGAAGTATAGCTGCCAACGTCCTCCTGTGTCCTCGGGCGGGCCCATCCGATTACGGCATCACGCAGACCCAAAGTGTGGTTCTCGCTTCCCTGAGCGCTGCCAGCAGCCGCACCTGCCCTCCACGGTCCAACGGAGCTCGGTCCAAGGCAGACCCAAACGTGCACTGTTCTCCCCTCGGTGTTGTCCGACGTGCAGATGCCGCCCCCGCCTTGTCTGCGGGGGGGCACGTGGAGTACCCCCATACACGCTGGTCGTTGAAAGTAGGTATGTCTGGATTCCCAGATCCCAATCTACTTCAAGCGCCTTCCTACTTCAAGAATCGATATGCTTCTGTTGTGCTGTGTTGCTCTCTGGGAGGGCCTGAACCCAATCTACTTAGTCCGCCTTCCTACTTCAAATTCTTACCTACTTCTTCCGACCGACGTGTGCCCCCATAAGCAGGTCCGGCCATCCAAACCACCAACATTCCCCTTCCTGGTGCTCTGCCAAGGCTGCAGTTGCCGCCATGGTGCTGCGCCTCTGGGTGGTACAGCACTCAGTGCCCACCTCGAACAGACCCGCAGTGTTTCTCGCCCGCGTCGTGTGTGACAGGTTTCCTTGACTCGTGAGGTCCAGTGGAAGTAAGTAAGTCTCGCTTCCCAGGGTGTCGCCAGCCTCCCTCGCAGCTGCCAGACGTGAACTGGTCGCCAGTCCTACGGGAGTCCAGCCCAGCGCTGTCCCACGAGTGGCATCATCCTTCAGCGTTGCGTTGCCAAGCATGCACGCTGTCGCAGCTTTCATGCGCCCCCCGGTGGCCCAGTGCTGTGACGCGCACAGGCACAGTGGACCGCGTCTTCCCTGTCGCTGCCGAGAGTGTAACTTTCGACACTCTCTTGCGTCCCAGGGGGTTCCAGAGGAGTAGTGCCGAACACTGTTGTCAGGGGATCTTCGTGCTCTAAGGTGTTGCCACACTTCGCCGGTGGGTTGAGGGCGTCTTGGACTTGCGTTCTTTCGTCACAGTCCGTCGATGCATTCTTTCATTCTCAGACTCGATGCTTGTTCCCACCCTCGGTCCCTCTTGTTCCTTCCTCTTCAAATCTCGCCATCTCCCACCAACCCATACTCGTTCCTTCAATCCCTTCGGCTACTCTTGCATCTCTCCTTACCCGCTTCGTATGATGGCTGCTGTCAGTGTGATTTGGGCGCGGCTGGCGAAACTTAATTTCCACATCGTAGAGCACAGAACTGACTCCTTGCTTTTTTATCATCCATCCCAACACTCCGAGCAGTACCCCCCCGTGCGCTTGCTCGAATGTCATCTGCCTCAGGCCCTGGTAGCCAGCTGATACCCTTATACACGCGGCTCTACAGTGAGGCGTATGATTACACTCGCACGCGACGTGCATCCTCGCAGTTCGACCTGCATGTATGGCTGTACATGCGTACGTGCGCTTGAATGCATAAGTATGACTTTGAAATATGCGGGTCGTTAAGACATGCGTTTGTTCATCCTGGGCGAGTGGCACTCATGTGAATGTCTGACCTCGAGCCAGAGAAGCAGCAGCCGAGGTATCAGATTATGGCGTTCGTCTAGCATTGTCCCCCGCGGCGCACTGTCTGATCGAGGCGCCGTCAAGCGTGGTTCAGGGACGTTGTCCTGGCTGGTCGTGAGCCGCGCCCACCGGCCCGTCTATAGGGTAGCATCGGCGCCGCGTCGGAGCTGCTCTGGACCGGTTGTTGGGGTGGCTCGTGCGCGCCCGTGCGCGCTTGAAGGGGGGGGGTGCGGGACGTACCTGCACCGCCCCGTCTCTGAGGCACGGCCTCACTCGCCGAGGCACGGCTAGCTCCCGTCCCGTCGGATGCTAGACCTGGATTGTCCCCTTGTCCCCTTCCGTGAGGCCCTCAAGCTCGGCAACCGCCTCTTCGTCGGCGTCGTCGGCGACACCGACGCCAACGCCTACAAGCGGCCCCCGGTGATGTCCGCGGCGGAGCGCGAGGCGGAGGCACCGCGCGCGGCCTGCGCCGCGGGGTGAGCTTGGAATCAGCGCCACCGCTGCCGCCAGGAGGAGGGCTGCGCAGACGGACGCCAGCACAGCTCGAACCTTCGTGTCGGGGGAGAAAAAGATACGGATACGTGTTGTCCCCCTTCGTTTTCGGCCTTTCCTGGTCCTCCTGGGGAATCCTCGTTGTCACCGCTGGATTCGCCTCGAAATTCTGGTCAGAACGCACCCCAAGAGAGGTCCGGGGACAACACGTATCCGTATCTTTCCGCCCCCCAATCGTGGGCCTTGGAAACGGCAGGACCGCTTTTGAACGGTTCCGTTCTGCCGTTTTTGTTGCAAGGTCCGACGCCGTTGTCTTACAGGCTCCGTCGCCGTTTTTGGACCGCTTCCGGCTCCAGTTCCGATCCTGGAGCTGTTCTTTTGCCGTTGCCGGTGACCGGTTTTTGGCCGTTTCCATTGTCAATTGACATTTTGTGGGAAAGGTGAAAAAACGGCCCTGCCGTTTCCGGGGCCCACAAAGGCTCGAACACAGTACATTCTGTTCGGCCATATCCGGCAGCGTCTCGTATGCTGGGCGGTCACACTGGAGTGCCACGGAACCAGACGTTGTCCGAACTCAGCGAGTTGCCTGCGGCAAGCCCCGCCGCAGTGCCGGCGCAGCAGGGAAGAGAAACGCAAGACCCGCTTCCTCTGCCGTGTCCTGTCGGAGCTGGCGCGGGCACCCTTTGCTTCTCATCAGCATATTCTCCTCCTCGTTCCTCCCTCCACCTTTTCGCTTCTCAGTCCTCCCTCCTCAATGCCTCTTCCCTTTCAGTGCGTCTGGAGGGCTCTCGGGGGCATCTTGGGGCCCTTTGGGTGTCTTGGTCCGTCTTGGGCGTGGGATTTCGATCCATATCTCCCAAAGCGGCTCGATTGAGCCATCTTGGAGCCTTCTGGTCGGATCTTGAGGCCGTCTTGGAGCTCTCTTGACGCGTTATGGGGCTGTATTGAATGGTTATTGGGCCGTCTTGGCGGGCCTTGTTGGGACCTGCTGGATTTGTCCTGGGGTTCTCACAGGCCATCTGGAGCGTTGGAGCCTATCCTGTGGCCAGTCAGCGTCGGTTGCGAGCAACAGATGCGTTCTTCATACCTGTTGTGTTCCGCTTGCCTGGCTGTGCAAGATCTTCGGCACCGCCTGCACCCCGGGCTCCGCCCGCTCCGGCCGCCTGAGGCCCCGCCTTCCTGTGCCCTGTCTCCCTAATTATAGCTGTGCGTAGCCCGCCTAGCTTTTGGCGGAAGAGGTTCGCTCTCGCCCCGCCGACCAAGAGTGTTCCGCTTGCCAGTGCCTGGATGAAGGGCTCTTGGCTCCTCTTAAGGGGCTGCGTGGTCCCCACAGGAGCTTCTGGGTCGCCGCTGGGCCTCGCCGTGGCCTGGTCTCTGGGGCCGCCCGGTCGGGCGTCGAAGTCCTCTTGGAGCTCTGCTGGAGCTGTCTTGGCCCCCCTCCCCCCCTCCCCCCTCCCTCCCTCCCTCCCTCCCTCCCTCCCCCCCTCCCTCCCCCCTCCCCCTCCCTCCCTCCCTCCCTCCCTCCCTCCCCCTCCCTCCCTCCCTCCCTCCCCCCTCCCTCCCCCCTGCTTTAGGGGGAGGTTACGGTCCTGGCATCGCTCGGACGTGTGCATTTTTTCCTCGGCGGGGACCACCGAGGACCATCCTGGACCATCGAGCAAACAATCAAACACGCACGAAACCGAAACATGCACGGGAGATCGGCGTCCGAGCGGTGCCGAGCGGTGCGTTCCTATCGTGTCGACGCAGCGGCGACCAGCCTCACCACCCACCAAACCACCCCAACCCAACCCGAAGGCCCAAATTTATCCTCGATTTCCAGTGGGGGGGGTCGGGGAACACTGAAAAAACACATGGAATCCGTACCCCCCCCCAACCCGAAATTCGACTCAAATTCGGGTCTTCGGGTTGGGTTGGGGTGGACTGGTAGGTAGTCACAGCCCCGCTGGCGTGCAGGGTCGAACTTCGGCAGTGGCCCGGAATGGGCCATTATGGAGCAATCTGGGGAGGGTATCGGGGGCGGCAACGAGGGGGGGATGACTAGGGGGGGGTGGATATCATGACGTGGACCATGATATTTCCGCAGATTCATGGCGCCTCTTCTTATTTCATCACGTCCCTGGCCCCCCCGCTGGGCCGCGCACACGCCGCCGGTCATGATTTGCACCCCCCCCTCTTTGACGCCCCCCTCTTTGCCGCTCCCGAGGGTAGGGAAGGCTCACTGCTCCACGCGTTGCCAGAAAAAAAAACAACGCCAGGGTTGTCGCGACGCGATCTTGCCGCAGGTGTCAGAGGGGGGTCATGACGATTTGGGGTGGTGCCCTAAGAGCACTGCTGACGCTTCACGCATCTCCGCACGCCCATCCAGGAAGGATGCCCCTGTGAGCTGCCCGGATAAGGTAAGCGCACGAGCAACACTCGGGGGCGGCAAAGAGGGGGGGATGACAGGGGGGTGGGTAGCATAGCCGGGGCCATGATATCTCCCCAGATTTCACTGCGCCTCTTCTTATTTCAATGCGTGTCCGGGCCCCCCCTAGGCCGCGCACATGCCGCTGGTCATGTTTTGTGCCCCCCCCCCCCTCTTGGACGCCCCACTCTTGATCGTTCCCGATCCTACAAGCCCGAAAGGAGGTCGACCAGCTCATCCTGACCGATTTCTTCCGCGACGACTTCATCCCAAAGAACGCGTTTCCGGATGAATTCGTCCGGATGGAGTTGTCTGGCCAAATTACTACTCGAGCGAATCCGTCTGCGGTGGACCCCGTCTTTGGATGGTTTCGCCTTCGGAGGAGCTCGTCTTCGGACGAGGTCGTCCCGAAGAATTCTTTGTCCAGACGAATTTCGTCTGGATCAGCTCGTCTCTTCCAATTTCGTCCAGGTGAATCGGGCCGGGCGAAAGGGGGGGATTGGGAAAGGCGGGGGTACGAAATTTGCTGCATGCAGCTGGTTTCGGCCTCACCGAGGGGCCCGTTCCTCGATACATGGCCGCCTCCGGCGCCGGGAGGCGCCGGGAAAATCAGCCTGATTCTCAACCCCCCCCTTTGCTATCCCCCCCTTTCGCCCGACCCAGGTGAAGCGGCTTCGGATGAGACGGTAGGCGTTCTGCAGCAGCGCCCCCGGAGGCCCTCGCAGGCCGCTCGCGGAGCGCTCTCGGGGGCTTTTGCTCCCGGGCCATCTGGGGAGCCCCCTTCCGGGCCCGTGGCTGGGCTCCCTCGGGGGATCGCCAGACCATGCGGAGGCCTCTGGAGCACGCGCGCCAACGTGGAGAAGGCAACCAGAATTCGGAGCCCCGAATCATCAGGGGTAACTCGGGTCAGGGCTAACTCGGGTTCGTTTTTCGGGAATCCGAACCCGAGTTATCCCGGACCCGAGTTACCCCGGATAACTCGGGCGTCCAAAGAATTGAAGCACTCGAGCTTGGCACCGCTCGGACGTGTGCGTTTTTCCTACGGCGAGGACCATCGAGGAGCATCCTTGACCATTTGGCGAAAAAACCACGCACGACACCAAAGAAAACACAGGGAATGGACGTCCGAGCGATGGCCAGCGAGGTGCTTGAGGCAATTTGGCTCATTTCGAAGAAAGAAAAAGCACATAAACATAAGATTTTGGCGCTCCACACGGATTTCTTGGATCCGCCCCTGGCGATCTCCGCGCGCCAGGGAGGGGGGTTCAGCGCGAACCCAAGAAATCCGCACGGAGCGCCAAAAGTTTATTTGTCTGTGTTTTTGTTTTTTCTTCTACTACTGGTGGTATCTTCAGAAGGTACTGTTGGTGCAAGCTTGCACCAAGTTGGACTGTCCTGCGCGGTATTATGGGTCATCTTGGGCTATATGGGGCCATATTGGAACAATCGAGTGCCACCTAGAACGCTTCGTCCGCTCGAGCGGAGCGGGTTCAGACACATGGGATGGTTGGAGGCACGGTGGAGGCTATAGTTTGTTATATTGTGCCGTCTTCAGAGGCTACTTCAGAGCATCAGTTGACGTATTGAAGCCATGGTGGCGCAACGGCGTCCCAGAGATGCCTGCCCGAAAGATCAAGATCATTCAAACTCCTTGTTAGTCCGAACGGTCTTCTAAAAAGGGGGGGCAAGTAAACGTATCCCGCGGGAGCCCGACACATCGTCTCTTGGAGCCTCTTTGGGGCGTTCTTGGCGCGTTCTTGGGCGCGCACGTGGCGGTCTTGGAGCTGTTCAGTGTCCACTTGCTCGTTCGGGCGATCTTGGAGTTGTTCTGAGGTCGCAGAAGCCCATCAACAGCGAAACAGCGAGAATGCAAGCACAAGTATAACACCTCGTATGTATGAAGTCTCTGTGTTAACATCGGGATGCTCCATGGCCCCTTGGCGCTGTTGGGGTGGGTGCGGCGTACTGAAGCATGTTGGCGGCCAGGGAGTTTTATTTTTTTCTGGCGAGGACCATCGCGAAGCATCGTCGATCACCGAGCCAGAAAACCGGCGGCAAGCGAGGTGGGGAAATGTGAAGGAGAAGGTTTTCTCAGAAGGCGGCGAGGCTTATCAAAAGCCATCGCGCTTTTTGAGAAGTTGTTCGTGTCTCCGGGGAAGGCTTAGAAATTTCTTAGAAGGCCAGGGGACTTCGAGCCGTCTGAGAAGGCCTTCTCCTTCTCAGTTCGCCCCTGGCTCGCCGCCTAGAAAAGCACGCACGAAACTGACAAATGCACGTGGAGTCGATGTCTGAGCGATGGCAAGTTGCATGTCCTAGTATGGATTGGCCCCATTGTATGGCCGATCATACAGTTGTCGTTTAGCTGTTTCTTCAAACGCGAGCGGTTTCCAGAGCGGTTCCTGGAGGTTTCCTTTTCATGAGTTCTTTGAGGTGTCCGCGGTGTCGTTCAACATGTCTTGCGTTTGTGCGTGCACCTGAGGAACATATAATGGCTGCATGTGTGACATCCTCAGCGGTTGCTTATACATGTTCTACGGCATCCGCGGTGTCCTTCAAATCTCCCTTGCGTTTGTGCGCGCACCGAGCGCAATAACAGTGATTTCGCTTGATGCCGCTTCACCCACGCGCTGATATCAGCTCAGGTTTCGGTTGCTCTCTGATTTTTTTCGAAAGCCCCCACACGTTCACTCCAGTATTGTTGCGTTTGTGTTTGGACCTGACATCAGATACCGTTGGATGTTGCGTCGGGCGTCTTCGCTAACATCAGAATCCACGGCTTGCGCTGCGTTGCTGGAGGGATTCACCGCCGCGCGGTTAAAACAAGGCAGTTCCATTCCAGAACACACACACACACACGAAATATTCAAAACCAAGACTTGCTTGGGTTTAATGGAGCTCCCTGCGGGCACACGGTGCGCATATGAGGCGTGCTCGGACATTGGCCTGAGACGGCACGCGCACACAGCCGGTGTGGTTTTCTGGTGGAGCTCCTCGTGGGACAGCAGAGCGTGTGAGGGGTGCGCCGGACAGGGCTCGAGACGGCGTGCGAACGCAGCCAGTGGGGCTTTCGGTGGAGCTCCGTCTGGGGGCACGAAGCGTGTGAGGGGTGTGCCGAAGTTGGGCGGGGCGCCATGCGAACGCAGCCAGTGGGGCCTCGACCTGACGCTCCGAATGGGGCCACGAAGCGTGCGAAGGGTGCGCCGTCGCAGCACAGGAGTCATGGGACGAACACGCGGAGAAGCGGGAGGAGGAAGGAAGATGAGGAGAAGGCGGGGCGCGGCGCTGCGGGTTCGAATGGGGGAGGAGGAGGAGGAACAAAAAAAAGGAAGGGAGTATGGAGACGCGCGGCGCTGCGGATTCAAAACGAGGACTCAACACAGGCTTGTTTGGAATAATTGTTCGAAGGTCCGCGTGGATGTTGTGCATCGGTGCTGGATCCCCTCCCTGCCGCGTGGAGCGCGCCAGGGGCGGCGCCAGGGTCGCCGCCAGGGAGGTCCAGCGCCGATGCACGAGATCCGCGCGGACTTCTCACAGTTTATGCTTGTGCAGCGCAGCTTTACGGCCTTCCAAGTACACGCCGGTCGTAGGTATTTTTGGATTCCCAGATCCCAATCTACTTCAAGCGCCTTCCTGCTTCAGGAACCGACGCGCTCTTGCTGTGTTCTGTTGCTCTCTGGGAGGGCCTGGACCCAATGCACTACATCCGCCTTCCCACTTCATGCTTCTACCTACTTCTTCCGACCGACGTATTCATACGCAGAGAGTCCGGAGGGACCAGAAGGCGGGTCCACCCACTGCTCCCCGGCACGGCGGCGGATGTGCGGGCACGTCGTCCTTCTCGCGGCGGCCGGCGCCCGCCGGCGTGGCGAGCGCCCCGTGGGTCGGCCACGCGGCCAGGACCCTCCTAGCAGAGTTGGAGCGATCGCTCCGCCCTCCGCTGACCCGGGTTTGTCTGGGAGCAACCAGTGTTCGGGGGCAGCAAAAGAGGGGGGGGACGACTAGGGGGTGTGTGGATATCATGGCGTGGGCTATGATTTTTCCCCAGATTTCATGGCGCCCCTTCTCATTTCATTACGTCCCTGGCCCCCCCGCTGGGCCGCGCACATGCCGCCGGTCATGATTTGCACCCCCCCCTCTTGGACACCCCCCTCTTGGCCGCTCCCGATAAACGTACAAAGTCGGATGTCCGCGCGGATTCTTCGGATCGGCGCCGGGGCCCCCATGGCGGCGCTTCCGGCGCCGCCGCCCCCGGCGCGCTCCCCGCGCCAGGGAGGATTCCAGCGCCGATCCGAGGAATCCGCGCCGGCTCTCGAGTTTATGCTTATGTCGTTGCTGATTCTATTAGTTTAGCGACTGGCAAGGGTTCGCGACGTAACCTTGGTTGACCTTGGGTAGCGCTGACCTGGGCCAGCGCGCCTCCCACAGGTAGGCAACTGCAAGTGCGTGACGAAGGTCATCCCGAACGCGCCCTGCTTCGGGCTGACCGAGGAGTTCATACGGCAGCACCGCATACACAGGGCCCAGGGGGGTGCGAACGCCTTGCTCCTCGCCCGCCCCCTTGCACAGCTCCCGATGCACTGCTCCGCGGTCCGTGACCTAGGCTCTGCGCGGCCTTACGCTCTCGCGTCCGCCTTCCACCCCTCCAGGTGCGCTCCGAGAGCGCCCCACCCACTCTTTCAGATGCCACTCCTGGGAGGTCAGATTCTGATTTTGCCCTGGGCCGAAATCTGGCTCAATCCCGCTGAATTCGAACAACAAGAACGACACAAGCATAAACTTTCGGAGGTCCGCGCGGATTTCTTGGATCCGCGCTTGGCCCACCCGGCGGCGCCTCCAAAGCCGCCACTGGCGCGCTCCGCGCCAGGGAGGGGGGTCTAGCGCAGATCCAAGAAATCCGCGCGGAGCGCGACAAGTTTATGTGTATGCCTTTTTTCCTTCTTCTACTAATCCAGTTTACTGACCTGGCGTAGCAGCCCCCGAATGGGGTTGAATCCTCTGAAATTCTAGACGCTTCGCGTATCCCCACCAGCCCGTCCAGAAACGACGCCCAGGCGAGTAGAGGGTCGTCCTGAGGGGCTTTTCGGCGTCTTGGGTGCCTCGGGGGGGCCTCTGTGGGCCGTTCGGGATCCTCTTTGGGGCCTCCTGGGGGCCTCTTGGGGCCTCTTGGGGCCATCTTGGGGCCTCTGGGGGGTCTCTGGGAGCACCTTGGGTGCCTCTGGGGCCTCTGGGCGCACCTTGGGTGCCTCTGGGGGGTCTCTTGGGGCCTCTTGGGGGTCTCTTGGGGGCCTCCTGGGGGCCTCTTGGGGGGCCTCTTGGGGCCATCTTGGGGCCATCCTGCGGCCTCTTGGGGCATCCTGGGGGCCTCTTGCGGCCATCGTGGAGGACATCGGCCAAGGAAGTGGGGTTCCCTAATTACAGCCCCCCCCCAGGAGCTCCAAAAATCGCTTCCTGGACCCCTCTTGGATCGCTCTTGGAGCGCTCGTGGCCGCTCTTGGAGCCATCCTGAGGCTCTCTTGGGCCCCTCTTGGAGCTATCTTGAGCCATCTTGGAGCCATCTTGACGCGTCGGATGTGCATCGCAAGCGAAGAAGTGAGAACACCAAAAACATTGATTTTCCCTAGGGTTGTGAAGCATTTTGGCCTCTTGGATGCATCCTAATGATGCTCTTGTGGGCACTTGGAACCGTCTTGGGGAGTTCTTGGAGCGTCTTGGAACATCATGGGGACCATCTTGAGGCATCTTGCGCTATCTTGAGCCATCTTGGAGGTCATCTTGAGCTCCCTGAGGCCCTCTTGGAGCCGTGTTGGGCCGTCTTGGACGCTCTAACTACCCGCGGCCTCCCCTGTCCAGGTCAGTGGGGAGGGGGTAGGGGGAGGGGTAAACCCCTCCCCGAAGGGGAAGAAGGAGGGGTGGAAGAGGAAACGCTCTAAACCACCGACGCCCAGAGGGCTGGTGGGACTTAAGTCGACCCTCGTCGGGGGTTGCCTCCTGACACTCCTCCGCTCCGGCTCGGCCCGCCCGTCCATTCACAGGCTCGCCCGGGTCCTGCCCCACCTGCCCGCGGTCCGCAGTTGGGCACGCTGGTCCCAGTGCGCTTCACGTCCTGTGCTCGGCATCGCTCGGACGTGTGCACTTTTCCTCGGTGAGGACCATCGAGGAGCATCTTGGACCTTCGTGCGGAAAATACGCACACGAAGCCGAAATATGCACGGGGGAGTGGACGTTCGAGCGATGGCAAGTGTAGGGCCTCCCCCTCCCACCCGCCCCCCTCTTCGGGGCGGCGAAGAGGGGGGGGGAAAGGACACTGGGGCTTTGGGGGGATATAGCATGGACAGGGCCATGAGATCCCCCCGATCTCACTGCCCACTCCTCTTCTCGGCGGCGAGCGAGGGGGGGAAGTGAGAAGGCGAAAGCCTTCTCGGAAGGCGGCGGGACTTCTCAGAAGCCCTCCCGCCTTCTGAGGGGTTTCCTGTCTCTGGCGAAGGCTTAGGGACCTTCTCGGAAGGCCGGGGGACTTCCGAGCCCTCAGGGGAGCCCCACCCCTTCGCAGTTCCCCCCAGGCTGGCCCCCAATCGTCTCCTCCTCTCCGCACGGCTCCTGGCGCCCCTCGTCGGCGCACATGACTCGGGCCACGATGCGCCTCATAGTATGATCCTGGCCCCCTCGTCGGCGCACCCGATCTCCTCCTGGATCCTTGCGATCCCTCCGTCCTCGGGGCTGAGCCGCTGTCCCCAGACGTCTGGCGTCTCGGACAACATTTCGCCAGAGTTTAGGCCTCCTGGATGGGGTCCGAGCAAATGGGGTCGGAGGAGAGCGCCGCAGCGCCGATGCATCGGCGATGCGGCGCGATGTGAAGCCCGATTGACTCCACGCCGACGTCGCCGATGCAGCGCCGGTGCAGCGCCGATGCATCGGCGATGCGTCGCGATCCTACGGCCCCATCTATTCCGACCCCATCTAGGAGGCCTCTACAGATGGTTTTCGCTGCTTTCGGTCGGAGCCAGTTTCTGAGCCCCAGGGCCGTCAAAGGAAGGTCGCGTATGATGGAAGCGTCTCTGGCCAGCGAACTCGGCCAGGGCGCCACTCGCCCACCCCGCACCCACGACGCATACACCACGCGCAGGGGGACGAGGAGGAGGTGGAGGATGAGAACACAGAGGGCGAGGAGGAGGAGGACAGGAAAGAGAATGATCTGTTGTGCACTCCTCACACGGGAAGCCGAGCGTGTATTCTCGCATGTCGATTCAAAGGCAAACCAGAACAGACAGATCGGAGGTTGGGGGGTGAGATCGCAGTGAAACGGAGACCCCCCACCGGGAAATCGGTTTCGGTTTCGTGTTCGTGTCGTGCGTGCGGGCGAGGCGAAGCTGCGCGTGATCCTCCTGTAGCTAGGCCGAAGTAGGAGCGAAAGTCCGTTTCCCGTCCGCCGGTGGCCGGGAGGTGTCCCAGTTGGGCCGGGCGGTGTCCCGGGTGTCCCGGGTGTCAGTAGGAGCGAAAGTCCGTTTCCCGTCCGCCGGTGGCCGGGAGGTGTCCCAGTTGGGCCGGGCGGTGTCCTGGGTGTCCCGGGTGTCCTGGGCGTCCCGGCGCTAACGCATGTCGCTAATTTCATAATTCATTGTTTTCGGCGCTTGCGGCGGGCTTTCTTATCCAATCCAGCTTATCTTATCCAATCCATCTTGTCCAATCCAATTCATCTTATCTTATCCAACCCATATTGTCCAAACTCATCTTATCCCACCCAATCCAATCCACCAAACCCAATCCATCAATTCAGTTGTTTCTGCGCCTGCGGCGGGCCAATCCAATCCATCGTATCTTATCCTAACATGCCTTCTAATCCAGCCCATCTTATCTTTTTCAATCCATGTGATCTCATCCAATCCAATCCACCCAACCCAATCCATCAATTCATTTTTGTCGGCGCCTGAGGCGGGCTTTCTTATCCAATTCAGCCTATCTTATCCAATCCATATTGTCCAATCCAATCCATCTTATCAAATCCAACCCATATTGTCCCATCTCATCTTATCCCACCCAATCCAATCCACCCAACCCAATCCATCAATTGATTTGTTTCTGCGCCTGCGGCGGGCCAATCCAATCCATCGTATCTTATCAAATCCATCCCTTCCAATCAAATCCATCTTATCTAATCCATCTTTCCACAGAGAGATGAGATCAAGGTGGCAGGCTGGAGGTCAGTCAGGGTGGGCATTTGATCTCACCCCCCAAAAAACAAACCTCCTTATCGCCCGCAGGGCGGTCGTATAGGTACTTTGGAGATCGAGTGGTATGCCGGCATGTGTTATTCTTTCTCTTGGTTATCGGGAGCGTTGAGATGGTCAATGCAAACGGGGGCTAGCCAGGGCACCAGATCCTGCAGGATTTTGCGGCGACCCCCTCTGGCTGACCCTGGTTTAGCGAGCCGCGAAGCGGCCGCGAAGCGGCCGCGCATATTGGTTGACCCGGGTGTGCGAAGCCCTGCGTTACAGTTTTGTGTTCCTGCATTGCAGGTTGTTGGTCTCCTGGTGACCCGGGTCTGGATTGACCCGGGTCAGAAGATCCCCGAGATGATCAGCCTCGGTGCAATTATGATAGCGTTCCCGCAGCAGGTCGCCTTTGGCCAAGAGTACCTCGAGAGGTTTCCGAACCCCGACGACGATCCGTACTACAAGGTGCCGCGCAAGATGGGGATTGCGATCCCGATGCCGCGCACGGAGGGCTTCTCGACGTCTGAGCTGATCGCGCGCATCCAGAGCAGGGGAAAGGACCGGGAGGGCCAGACGACACGTCCGCACGGGCCTCCCTCCATCCCCCTCTTACACGTTCTCTTTCTCGCTCTCCCTCTCGCCCACGAGGGACTTGGCATCGCTCGGAGGTCTGCATTTTCCCAGCAGTGACCATCCAGGATCATCCTGGACCATCGTGGGGAAACTACATGCGCGGAATCGGCAAATGCACGAGAAATGGACGTCCGAGCGATGGCCAGGGGAGGGGTGGAGAAGCTGGAACGAGGAGGACGTATCATGGGAGTACCCCGAGGACGTGAAGAAGTCCCCCACGTGACTCCGCGCTGGCACACACCCGGCCATGGCCTGGACTGAGAGGTGGCTCCCGTCCGGCGCCGAGCGCATGCGGTCAGCATGCACCCCCAAGATTTTCTCTTCCAGGGCTCCGCCCTGTACCAACGACCTCCCCTGCGTCCTACCCATGACTTCACGATTGTCAGGAGGAAAAGAAACACAGACACAATTAATCCTCGATTTCCCAGAAAATATGGGAAAATATAGGAAGTGGGGGGGAATACAAAAACCCAGAAAATATAAGAAAATATGGGGGATCTTTTTATTTGTGTGCATTTATTTGTGTGTCCCAGGGCCCCTTCAGATTGTTCGGTTTGAAGCGCTTGCGGGTTTGACGATTGCGTCGTGGCTCTGCGCGGCATTGGAGCATGCCGGGGCAGCAGTCCCGAGGGGGTTGGGGTGGGGCGAGGGAGCGCCGGCCAGCCACGGGTGCCTCCGGGGGGCCAGTCGGGGGCTCTCTGGGCCCTCTTTCGGGTCGGGCGAAAGGGGGGGATTGGGAAAGGGGGGGTTACGAAATTTGCTGCATGCAGCTGGTTTCGGCCTCACCGAGGAGCCCGTTCCTCGATACATGGCCGCCTCCGGCGCCGGGAGGCGCCGGGAAAATCAGCTACGTGAGCTGATTCTCAAACCCCCCCTTTGCTATCCCCCCCTTTCGCCCGACCCGACTCTTGTGGACGGCGGGCCAAGAAGGGGGGGGGAGGGGCGACTCCAGTTCCCCCCGCTGTGCAGGCCGAGCACCTGCCTCTTTGGACGTCCTAGGGCGCCTCGGGGCTCGTATCAGGGAGTGGCTTGCGGATGCTTCCAGGGGTTCGTCTCCCTGGGGCCCCGTGGGCCCTTCCTGGCGCTCTCTCGGGACATACGGGGGGTCATGTTGGTTCCTCGACGGCCCATCGGAAACGAAACGGTGAGGCGTCAAACGCATCACTACCGTGTGTTGTCGTTCTTGAAAAATGGTGGCCTCTCGGGGGCATCCTTGAAAGGATCCATGGTCACCTCAAGCCGCCTTGGGGCCTCTTGGAATCATCATGTAGGCCACACTGAGCCATGTTTGACCATACCCTGCGCGCGCGAACTACCTGGGGCCACCCTAGAGCTATCGAGGAGACGCTCTGACCGCCCGCGCCCTCCTTCTAGACTTGCGGGGAGGGTTGAGCTCCGAAACTGGACTTCTAAAGCTGTCTTGCTCTCTCCCATCCGCCCACCAACCACATACGTACACGCGGGTCGTTGAAAGTAGGGATATGTTTTGATGTCCAGATCCCACTCTTGTCTAAGTGCCTTGCTGCTTCAAGAATAGAGTTTGCTTTGTTACTGTTTGTTATTGTCTACGCGGGCCCGGATCCAGTCTACTTTATCCGCCTTCCTACTCCAAGACTCAGCATAGGCTTCGGTCGCCCTCCGACGGAGGGCCGTTGATTGACATCGTGGGGTTGGCGGCCAGGTGCGCCACGCAAGCCAGGTGCTTTAGGTAGACCAGGCGCACCAGGCGTGCATGGTGCGCCAGATGCGCAAAATGTGCCAGGCGCACGTGGAAGCTCACATCGGACAACATGTCGACACCTCAACCGTGCGCTACGCTACCAGTGCACAGTGAGATCGGGCCAGTTAGCAATGTGTATCGAGCGTGCACCCTCAATCACTTTGCATTGGCGTTTGCCAGGGGCTGGGTCGGCGCACAGTTGGTACCATAGCCTCCTTCCGCGTTGGCTCATGCCGCGTTGGAACGCCGGCGACGCTGGCGAAGGCGTTCAAGGTTGCATTCTTGTGACGCGGAACCACCGAGGGACACGGCAACGCCACTGGACCCGACGGAATTCAATGTTGCACAATCGGGACCGCGCTCGGTTCGGTTGAACGGTCGGCGCGGTCGGCGCGATTTACGCGCGCCGACGCTGCGCGAATCTACCGTATCTCTTGGTGTCTCTTTTGGCGCCTCGTGGAGGCCTGCTTGGATTCTGATCACACTGCTGGAGGGGCAAGGTCCCTGCGGGCCCGCGGGCGGCGTCCGCCGCCGCGGGCGAACTCGCGGATCCTGGAGGCCTCCTGGAGGCCTCTCGGGGGCTCCTGGGGGCTTCTGGGAGTTGTTAGGAGGAGGTCCCGGCGATCTCGGGGGCCCTCTCAGAGTGGGGGCCTCGAAGTATCGGTTCGAGTTCCCCCCCTCTCGGGTCACTCTTGTTGCGTCATGTGGCATCATGGCTTTCGGGAAAGTCATGCGACCAGCCGTGGGCATTCTGGCTATTAAGGGCCTGGGCCTTCAAGAGTTTCACCATATTTAATGCGAGGGGTTCAAAGGGACCTGGGGCATTTCACTCAGTTCCTACGGCACGGTGGCGGATTACGCACAGAGACATCTGCAGCAGCGTGTTCCGTTGTGCCCCAAGCATGTTACAGCTACTGCCACCAAAGTAAGGAATGGCCAGGGGGGTCGCAGCGCCTCGTTTGGATGAAGACGATCCGGTTCGCCGTCGCCGTCGCCACTGCTGTCGAGGCTGCGAGGCAGTTGCCAGCGACCCAGACGAGAAGCAACGATTTCTGTCATCGTCCTTGCCCGGTTTGTTTTTTTAATAATCGTTTGGTAGCATTCGTGTTGGCAAATTCCCCTGTCGTGCTCGAAGCCTGTCCAGCGCAGCCTGGTGGTCTCCGCGAGGAGGTCAGCAGACGACATCTTGCCGGCCCTGCCTCCACATCTCTCTCGTCCTCTTTGTTCTTCTTCTTACCACGTCACTGCTCGACAAGGGCCGGCGTAAACATAAATGTTTGGACCTCCGCGCGGGATTTTCGAATCGGCGCTGGAACTGCCTGGCGGAGCCTTCGGCGACGCCCCGGGCGCGCTCCGCGCGCCAGGGGAGGGGGTCCAGCGCCAATCTAAGAAATCCGCGCGGCATTTTGAAAGTGTATGTGTCTATTCATGTTGTTCCTCTGCAACAGCACTGCTTCTCCATGTGGCCCTTCACTGCCCGCTCCTATTCCTCAGATTCTCCCCTCTTCGCCCACCTCTTCCGTGCGGGGACCCGTTCTGGTTCAAATATCACACCGTGTGATGTCCGAATGTTTGTTCAAGAGCTTGTGGATGAAGCATATTTGCGTGAGCCTAGCCCTTCCGATTCCCGTCAACGCGGCGTGTTCCTTTGGAACGAGAGGAAGAGTTAAGAGGAGGGGGAGGAAGAGAAGTTTGCGGAGGGGTATGTTTGGAATTCCGCCGCAAACTACATTCCCTTGATTATCGATTTCGGAATTCTGGACACGCCACCGATCCTATGCGTGTGAAGCACACGATCTTTTTCATCAGTGACGGCGTCGCAGATCCGTGGCAGGAACGCCGATCGCCCAGCTGAACAGCACGAAGCCGCATGCCCGGAGGGCATGCGGCTTCGTGATGTTCAGTTGATGCTCAGCAAGCGCACATCCACATTTGAGAAGAAAGCATTCGTCATGCAGCAAGCGTTGTTCGATCGCATCGGGGCACTCTATACAAAAGCATCGGTGGAGTACCATCGCAATCAAACCAGCAGCGGCACGATGGATCATCCGTGGATTTGAGCATCGAAAAGGCGAGCGACATGAATTGCTCCAACGCCATACTCCTTAGTGTTTCGCCTTGCCCACAGCACTCCTGAAAGACGTCCACCGTTCCCCTCTCCTTAGAAGTGCATCACGCCTCTCGTGGTGGTCTGTTCTGCAAATCCCCTCGGTCCCCGACCCCGCACGTGCCGTTCAGAGAGGGACCTCGTCTTAGGGACCTCCAGCTCCATGTCCTTCCTCGTAGGCTGCAGATGCCACGCTCGGCGTGCTGAGCGGCATGCACGTTTGAGCGCCAGGTTTTGTTCAAGCGGCGCGCTTGTTCTTTCATCTGGCTCCGCAGGGAGACCAGGTGCTGTTCCTTGCGCTCCTGGTCGGAGTGCCCAATCTGGGGCACACGCCGCGGGTGCGAGTGCGAGTGCGCGCGTGTGTGTGTGTGTGTGTGTGTGTGTGTGTGTGTGTGTGTGTGTGTGTGTGTGTGTGTGTGCGTGCGTGCGTGCGTGCGTGCGTGCGTGCGTGCGTGCGTGCGTGCGTGCGTGCGTGCGTGCGTGCGTGCGGCGTGCGTGCGTGCGTGCGTGCGTGCGTGCGTGCGTGCGTGCGTGCGTGCGTGCGTGCGTGCGTGCGTGCGTGCGTGCGTGCGTGCGTGCGTGCGTGCGTGCGTGCGTGCGTGCGTGCGTGCGTGCGTGAGTGCGTGCGTGCGTGCGTGCGTGCGTGCGTGCGTGTGTGTGTGTGCGTGTGTGCGTGTGTGCGTGTGTGCGTGTGTGCGTGTGTGCGTGTGTGCGTGTGTGCGTGTGTGCGTGTGTGCGTGTGTGTGTGTGTGTGTGTGCGTGTGTGTGTGTGTGTGTGGGTGTGGGTGTGGGTGCGGGTGGGTGTGGGTGTGGGTGGGTGTGCGTGTGCGTGTGCGTGTGCGTGTGCGTGTGCGTGTGCGTGTGCGTGTGCGTGTGCGTGTGCGTGTGCGTGTGTGTACCCCCGACACGGCGGCAGACCGCCGTGCGCCACGAGTGCCGACGCAGGCTGGGCAGGGGGCCCGCAGCAGCTGGACGCCGCAGCCCGCCCGTCTCCCCCCCGCGTGAGCCCCGGCGCCCGTGCGCCCGTGCGGGCAGGCCATGATGCCGCCCCTTCCCCGGCGAGCGCTGCGCCCCCCGCCCCCGCCGGAGAGCTCGGGCGGGAGCCTGCTCCCCGCACGCAGAGCTCGAAGGGATCGCCCAGGGATCCGCCTCTCCAGGGAGGGCTCCGCCCCCCGCCCCCCCCCCCCTCCCTTGACCCCACCCCCCCTCTCCTTCGACAGGCGTCCAACACGAGTACTGCCCTCATCTCTCCCCCGAGGACCCAGAGGTCGTAGCATGCCCCCCACCGCGCCGCGCATTGCTTTGGTTACACATCGGATCCTCAAACGTTATTCGATCCTATGTGTGTGTGTGTGTTCCAGTCCGAACGGTTTCGGTGTTTTCCCAATGGCGTTCCTGCTGCAGCGTTGGCTCCCTGTTCTCGCTCTCAGTCCTTCCAAATCCTGCTCCAGCTGCAGTGCTGACCTCAGTTATGTGCTGCGGATCTTCCAAATCGTGTTCCCGCTGCAGCGTTGGCTCTCATTCTACGCTTCCGCTCTTTCTCGGGGGTGGACAGAACCCCCAACAGTGACACGTCGATTAGCGAATTGTCCGTTTTCGGTTCTCGAGAGGGCGCCGTGGCCGTTATTTTCCAGGTTTGCGCCCGCCAGGTTTGGGCCTCAGGTCGTTTTCACTAAACCACGTTCTACTAAAGGGGGGTCTGTCCATCCCCGACTTTCCGATCCGTGCATTACATGTTTCGTCTTGCGTCATGTCTGGTGTCCCTCCGAACACGGCACGCCCTGCCGTGCCCTTCCTACGCCGTGCTGCGCCGTGGAGCACCATTCATCTCGCTCCCTCTCGGGATCACGACCCTGCTCGGCATCCGACGGCGCGAGCACAGAGAAGACCTACGCCATGGTGAGGGATTGGAGGGAGGGGTAGAACGTCAGATAAGACGCCTGCGCACCCAGCTTGTCCTCACCTCCTCGGCGTCCTCCTCCCCCCCCCTCCTCGTCCATACTTGTCCCTGATCTCCGCCGCACAACTGGCCGATAGGGCCAGATCCAGGATGTCTCATCCTTCCGATCAAACATCGATTCAGAATCACTGGTGCCCGCCTCAACAGGGACACTCTATCACCCGTTTTGCGAAATGTGCGCTCGCAAGGCCGAAACGTCGTTCTCGCATCGGCGCCGCGCTAATGTTTTAGACAAGTGAGCTGCCGCTTGGGCGCGGCGCACGCGTTTCGCACGCAGTTTCGTCGACGTGCGAGCGGGCGAAACTGCCGCGCCCGGCGTGTCGCCGCGCAGATGTCGCCCGAAAGTGGCGCTCCAGCCGCAACGCGGCGCGTATCCATCAGACTTGCCCGGTGTCTCCTTATTCAATTAGTCTTTGATCAAAAGGTTATCACATTGGACCTATGTCAACGATTGATTAGTATTCTTATTGTGATTTCCCGCCCTCGCCCAGAAGCCCTGCGTGCATGTCGCTCGGGAGTGGCGTTCCAGCGCGGGCGCGGCGCATGGCTCGCTTGCCAAAGCACCCGCCATCGACGGCGCCCGCGAGGCCGCGCGAGGGCGCGCGGAGTGCCCCCGTCGCCCGCGCGCTGCGCAGCCCGTGTGAGTAAGAGCGGCAGTGCTGCGTCAGCGGGGCGCATGCTCTTGGCATCGCTCGGACGTGTGCATCTTCCTCTCGGCGAGGACCATCGAGGAGCATCCTCGGTCATGTGGCGAAGAAGCCACGCACGAAACCGACACAAAACACAGGGAATGGACGTCCGAGCGATGGCCAGTGTGTCGTCTTCGCTCAGGGAGGGGACCAACAACACACACAGGCACAATGAGTCGCCGACTCCCCAAAAAAGATTGGAAAATATGGGAAGTGGAGGGAGGACACACACCAAAAAAAAAGATAGGACAAGCTGGGGAATCCTGTCACTCGTGTCTATTTCTTTGTGTGTGCCCCAGGGCCCCTTTTACCCCCTGCGCCCAGTGCAAGGCTGACTCGTCCCGCCCCTGCGCGGCCCACGCGGGTTTCTCTCCGCCAGGTCGTCGGGAGCGGGGCCGCGCGCGAGGGCCTTCCGTGTGTGGGGCGGGAGCCCGCTCCAATCCCGGTATCGGGCTGTGCCACAGTTGGCTACAGTCGGGGCCCTGAAGAAGGAACCCTTTTCGTTTGGGAGGGGCTCCGCGTTCCTCAAGTGTTTCGCAGCTTGCCTCAGGTTGTCCTTCTGTTTTCGATCGGACATCGAAGTTTAACTCATGGAAAAAGGGGGCCTCGTTCCTTATTTAGGGTTCCTTAGGCCAACGCCCCGACTGTATTCTGTTGTGGGAGGTCGGGTGGTAGTGGCTCGATTGACCTGGCGAACTTGATTCTAAGGTGCCTGTCCTAGTACACACCGCGCACCATCGTCAGCGCAAGGCGGGACGTCTTTCTTGTCACTGGCACCAGCGGTGAATGGGAGAGCCCAAATGCCACATCTGACATGCTATTGATTATGCCTACCCTTCATGGCACCATCGGTACACTGCACTTCTCCCCCCGCCTCGATCTTCCTGACCCTCGATACCCCTAGCCGCCCCCCCCTGTAGCTCCCCTTCCCCTCCCCCCACCTCCCTACCCTTGACATGTTTTTTTCATCCTCTGGCGTACGCAACGATCGCTGCCCAGGCCCCCCCCCCCCCCACCCCACCCTGGGTAACGGTGACTGGGGGAACGAAAAGTGACATAAACAACAACTCGGAGGTCCGCACGGATTTCTCAGATCGGCGCTGGACCCCCCTCCCTGGCGCGCGGATCGCGCCAGGGGCGGGGTCGGAGGCGCCGCCAGGGGGCCCCGGCGCCGATCCGAGGAATCAGCGCGGACCTCAGAGTGTTTATGTTTATGCCACTTTTCGTCCCCCTAGTGGCGGTCGCACGTGGGGGGGGAGAACCCGGGCCCCCGTCCCCTCATCACATGCTGGTGCTCACGCGCAGACTACGGCGATCGCAGCGCACACCCCCCTCCCGACGTGCCTCGCCCCGCCCCAGCGTTGTGCCGTCCCCAGGGCCCTGTGACCCTCTTCCCGCCACCGGGAGTATATCTGGTACGGGAAATCATTCTGAGGATGTCCGAGGGCGAGGAGGAGGAGGAGGAGGAAGAGGAGCCTTCCAGTTCGATCGCCTGCAGCATCCGCTTCGGATGATGAGCCGTCGATTGTGAAGGCTCCCGGGCCGCCAGGGGGATGGGGGGTCCCAGGGGGGCGTGCCCCCTTTGGGAGCCTCCCCAGGATCCCGGCCAGGGCGAGCCGAGCTGCAGTCTCGGGTTGCAGGCGCCTGGTTCGCTGACCACTGACGCCTGGTGCAGGCGTCCGCGTCGGCTTGAAGGGAACTGGGGCGGGCGACGCATGGAGGGGAGATGAGGGGGGTAGGGGAAAACATCATACCCATTCCTTCCCCGTCCGGGCGGGCAAGGTATGGCAGGTTCGCGCCGCGGCGGCGCAGCGGCGACCCCGGGCGCGGCGCGGTCGAGGCTGAGCGCTGCCAGTGGCCCGGGTTCGGCCGATGTGGAGCGGTTCTGCGTCGTCGGGCAGCCGCGACCTTTCGGGAGTGAGCGGTGCATGCGTTCTCGGGAGCCAGCGCGCAGGTCGTCACGACACGACACGGCACGTCTTCTTCTTCGGCGTTTCGACACTGCGCGGAGGGGGTGGAGGGGGGGGGTCTGGCGCTGGACCTCTGCTTGGGGCGGCGGTTCTTGCAGCAGCGCGTCCTGTGGAGGAGACTCCACCTGCTCGAAGCGGGCGCCCGGACGGCGAAGGTCCACTCCAGGGTAGGGAGGGGGCGGCGCGCCAGTTCGATATATCGATTCTGGCCGATTCGATCTGACTCGGTTTCGATATTCCGACGGTCCGATTCGATATGATGTTTGCATGGCGCATGTGTGCATCATGTCTCGAAGGAGAAGAAACTGCATTAACATAAACTTTTGGCGCTCCGCGCGGATTTCTTGGATCTGCGCCGGACCCCTTCCTCAAGAAATCCGCGCGGAGCGCCAACAGTTTATGTTCACTATGGGGGCGCGCGTCAAGAAACCATTTGATTTTCGTCGGGAAACCCTAGGTTTCTTCGCTCCGCTCGCCTCGCGCGCCGGTTTTCAGGGTTGGGTTTCTTGCGAGGGTTTCTTGCGACCGCGCCCGCACTGTATGCCGTTGGTTGTTCTTCTATTGTCGCAGTCGATCCGAGTCGATATCGATTCCGTGCCAGTGCAGCCCGGTCCGACGCACAATCTCTTTCGATCGGCTGTTCTGATTCGATGTCGATTGATTTTGTCGATGCGAGTGGGGAGGGACTGGAGGATGAAGAAGCGGAGCGCTAATACTTTTGCCACGCGACATTGCATGTTATAGGTGTTTTCCCAACTGCTTCCGTTCCTGCGCTTCCTGCTTGGGGCTGCGCGCGGCGCATCGGAAGCACGGGAGGCCGTCGAGGGCGCGGCCTATCTTCTTCCATACTCTCTTGTTCCTCCTCCTCGTCCTCCTCCTCCTCCTTCTCTTTCCTTCTCTTGGTCCTCCCTCCCTCATCCTGGATGACTCATCCGTCTCCCTCCCTCCCACCCATGTCTCCCTCACGTTCGTAAGCAGCCAGCCTGGTCCAAGAGTTTGGGGATCCCTGTGAGCCCAGTGGATGCCGCTTGTTCGCGGCTTGGTCTCAGGGCTCTGTTCGCACAGGTCAAGATCCGCGCAACAGGTTTCCCTTCTTTGGCGTGATGAGACGCGTTCGGGTTGGTTGAGGCAGCCGTGGGTTCGAGCTTCAGGAGGGGAAAAAACACACAATTAATCGTCGACTTCCCAGAAAATATGGGAAAATATGGGAAGTGGGTGGGAAGACAAAAACCCAGACAATATAGGAAAATATGGGGAATGTTTTTATTTGTGTGTATTTATTTGTGTGTCCTGGGGCCCCTTCAGAGTTGACCCAGGAGGCACTCAAGCGGGATGGATTGACACTCGTGCTCGTCGAGACTTCATTGTTTGTGTTTGCGGGCACCCCGTGGGCCCCCCCCACACCAGGGGACCAAGGGCTCGGCCCCCCTGCGCCCGCGGGGCCTCCCCAGAGCCTCCCCACAGATGTGATGTTCCAGCCTACTTTAGCCTTGTCCACCAGAAAGAAGTTCGAGCACCCAAAAAAGTACCGAAACTCGCGGGTTTTCGCGTGTCGGGCCCTGGGAGACACTCGTCCGACACTGTTGCGACACTCTTTCCACACTTTTCCGGGTGCTCGAAATTATTTCTGGGATGTGGTGTCGGGGGCGGAAAAGAGGGGGGTGATGACTAGGGGGGGTGGATATCATGGCGTGGGCCATGATATTTCCCCAGATTTCATGGCGCATCTTCTCTTTTTATTACGTCCCCGGCCCCCCGCTGAGCCGCGCACATGCCGCCGGTCATGATTTGCACCCCTCCCTCTTGGACACGCCCCTCTGGGCCGCTCCCGATGGTCCTGAAGTATGATGGGAGCAACACAACCCCACAGCCTCCCTGGCACTGTCGCGACGCTCTTCCGACACTTCTCCTCCGGGCGCTCGAAACTATTTCTGGGACGTGGCCTTGAAGTACGATGGGAGCAACAGAACCCCACAGCCTCCCCAGCACAATTGGGACACTTTTCCGACACTTCTCCTCCAGGCGCTCGACACTATTTCTGGGACGTGGCCCTGAAGTACGATGGAGGAGGAGGAGGAGGAGGAGGATGAAAAGGAGTAGGAGGAGGAGGGCGAGGAGGGAGGAGGAGGAGGAGAGGAGGATAGGAGGAGGAGGAGGAGTAGAGAGGAGGAGGAGGAGGGCAGGAAGGAGGAGGGATGAGAGAAGGAGGGAGGGAAGAGAGGAGGAGGCCAGGAGACTAGGGGGAGGAAGGAGGAGGAGGCGTGAGGAGGAGGGGGCGGAGAGGATGAGGAGGAGGAGGAGGAGGTAGGAGGAGCAGGAGGAGAGAGGAGGAGGAGGAGGAGAAGGGGGGAGGAGGAGAAGGAGACCTAGGAGGAGGAGGATGAGCAGGAGGAGGAGGAGGAGGAGGGGAGGGGAGGAGAGGAGGGGATTGGGAGGAGGAGGAGGAGGAGGAGCTCCCAGGCAGGCCCCACGGCCCCCCGACGGGCCAGGCCTCCGCGGCCGGCCCCGCCCCCTCGGGTCTGCTGGGGCGCCGGGCCTGCGCGGCGGCACCCCCTTGCGGCGGGCCTCTAGAGCGCGAGGCCCGCAGGCCGGCCCCCCGGCAGGGCCTGCTCCTCCTCCTCCTCCTCCTCCTCCTCCTCCTCCTCCTCCTCCTCCTCCTTCTCTTCCTCCTAGTCTCCTGCTCCTCCTCCTTCTCCTCCTCCTCCTCCTCCTGCTGCTCTCCTTCCTCCTCTCCTCCTCCTCCTCCTCCTCCTCCTCGCCTGCTCCTCCTCCTGCTCCTCCTCCTGCTCCTCCTCCTCCTCCTCCTTCTCCTCCTCCTCCTCCTCCTCCTCCTCCTCCTCCTCCCGGAGGAGGAGGAGGAGGAGGAGGAGGAATTTTCGTCCCGCAGCGCAGCCTCGGCCCGGGCGAGTGGTAAAGACATCGAGACCGTGGGCAGAAGAGGGACTGCGCCAGAGAAAGGTGCCGCCTCCCTCGTCGAAGAAGCCAACCAAGAAGCCAACCACCACATAGAAGCAGAAACTTTCGACGCTCCGCGCGGATTTCTCGGGCCCGCGCCTGGGCCGCCCCCGGCGCCGCCCCGGGCGCCGCCCCTGGCGCGCTCCGCGCGCCAGGCAGGGGGGTCTGGCGCAGCTCCAAGAAATTCGCGCGGAGCGCCAACAGTTTATGTTCGTGTGCTTTTGGTTCTTCGTCTACTCCTGCCCCGCTCCCCGCTCCGCCTCCCCGCTCGTTGCTCTGCGCTGCTGCGCCCACGGGGCTCGAGCTCCGGGAGCTGTCACCTCGCAATCCTTCACGCCTTGCGCATCCCCACCGGCCCATTCGGGGACGGTGCCCACGAGAGCTGACTGGAAACGGGAGGAAGAGGCACATGTAGTGAAGTGAAGCGGGCAAGCAGAGAGAAGGAGGAGGAGAGTCTTGAGCCATCTTTGAGGTCATTTCTGATCATCGGAGGCAGGAGGAGGAGGACAACGATGCCAAGAATTCTTTGAGTCGTCGTGGGGTCTTCTTGGGGCACTCTGAGGTTCCTCCTGGGGTTTGCTCTTGGTCCTCGTGAGGCTCTTTTGGAAGCCCCTGGCACTGCTCGCCCTCACACGGATGATTAGCTCACTGCCTCGGCGCCGCTCGGGCGTGTTTTTTTTTTTTTCTCTTAAATCGGGCATGTCCCTCTGCAGGAGGAGCATGCAAAAATGATCAAAAGCAGTCAGGTGACGATCTGTCGACTATTTTTGACTATGAAGAATCTGTTTGGGCTATTTGTCATTTTTCTTCCGAAATCCGCGTGTAGGAGGACATGCCCGACCTGACTCTTCTCGGCGAGGCCAGCCGCGGCAAAGCGGGACCCTCTCGGAGCAGCCTGGACCAGCTTGAGAAATACGCGCGCGCCCCACCGGGGGCCACGAGGCGCGTGAGGGGCGGTTGCCAAAAGGGACACGCGGTGGGCAGAGGCAGTGATGGGCCTGTTTCCACCACCACCACCACCTCCTCCTCCTCCTCCTCCCCCTCCCCCTCCTCCTCTTCCTCCGCCTCCTCCTCCTCCTTCTCCTCCTCCTCTTCGTCCTCCTCCTCCTCGTCCTCGTCCTCGTCCTCCTTCCCCCCTCCCACTTATGGTGGTGGTGGTGGTGGAAAACAGGCCCATAAGACAGGGATGGGAGGAGGGTCGATGATGCGACGCGCGGCTACGCCGAGTGCGCACTGGATGTGCACGGAGTCGGCCCGCGGCAGCGGGTAATACCGTGGGAGGAGGGAGGGAGGAGGGAGCGGGAGGAGTGGGGTATATAGCCAGGACCCCAGGTAAGGGCACCCGGTCAGTGGTAGGGTTCCGGAGCCCCGGAATCTGGCCAGAATCACCAAACCAGGTCCGCCGTAGCTGATTTTTGTTTCGGGTGCCGGCAGTTCCGGGTAGTGGAACGGGGCGGGGGGGGCGTCTCCCAGTACCCATCACTAAACCAGGTCCCTCAGAGCCCCGAATCATCAGGGGTAATTCGGGTCAGGGATAACTCGGGTTCGTTTTTCGGGAATCCAAACCCGAGTTACCCCGGACCCGAGTTACCCCGGATAACTCGGGCGTCCAGAGCCCCGAATCATCAGGGGTAACTCGGGTCAGGGATAACTCGGGTTCCTTTTTCGGGAATCCAAACCCGAGTTACCCCGGACCCGAGTTACCCCGGATAACTTGGGCGCCCAAGTCCCCCGAAACCCAGGTCTGCCAATCCAAACCCGAGTTACCCCGGACCCGAGTTACCCCGGAGGTCCCCCGAAACCCAGGTCTGCCAACGCCCGAAGGAGGTGGCGCGCGGGGGGCGCCGTCTCTTCAAGACGAGGGCCCCACGCAGGGGATTTTTTGGGAGACGCGAGGCGCACGAAACCGAGCAGAGGGAACGATCGCCCGCGCGGTGGCCGAGGTGTTGCCGAAGCCCGTCGGGCGTGGTCGGATCGGCCCAGAGGCCGCGAGCCCACCAGCGCGGCCGCGGCGCGGTTTTCCGAGGGGGCCCAGGGGACAGGGGGCCTCCTCCTCCTCCTCCTCCATCCTCCTCCTCCTCCTCCTCCTCCTCCCCTCCTCCTCTCCTCCTCCTCCTCCTCCCCTCCTCCTCCTCCTCCTCCTCCCCCTCCTCCTCCTCCTCTTCCTCCTCCTGCTCCTCCTCCTCCCCCTCCCCCTTTCCCCTCCCCCTTTCCCCGCCGAGGCCTCACCGCGGCGTCCGATCCTGAGGCTCCTGGGTATGTCTGGCCAGCAGCTGCACGGCTGGTGGGCGGGGCGCTCGCGGAGTCTGCCTCGCACGGGGTGGCATACGTAGCACACCGCTGGTGCGGATCAGAGTGAAGTCGGGCCTGTCCCTCTACAGGAGGCACATCCAAACATAGTCTAGCAATAGTTTTGGAACTATGTTTGTTACCAGTTTTGCGGATGTTCTAAGATTTTGTTGCATCTGTTTCAATTTTCCCTCTAAAATCCCCCTGTAGGGGGACATTCCGGAGGGGAAGAAACACACAGACACAATTAATCGCCGATCCCCAGAAAATATGGGAAAATATGGGAAGTGGGGGGGAAGGAGACAAAAACCCAGAAAATATAAGAACATGTTGGGGATATTTCTATGTGTGTGTATTTATTTGTGTGTCCTGGGGCCCCTTCGGACATGCCCGACCTAAGGGTATGTCTGTCCAGCAGCTGCAACGGCTGCTGGGCGGGGCGCTCTCGGAGGCCGTCGCGCACAGGGCGAGACACGCGGCACCCCGCGGCTGCGGATCAGAGTGCGGGGGCGGGCGTAGGGTTGGGAGAGGGAGGAGGAGGAGGAGGAGGAGGAGGAGGAGGAGGAGGACCAGCGCGCAGTAGGGGGGATGAGTTCGGGCCACCTGTCCACTAGGGCGGAGTGGCGGCCTCCTGCCTGGCTTGGGCTGCTTCTCTGAGCAGCTGCGCCAGGGGTACAGGAGGGAGGCTGAGCACGATCGGGCTGGCGGCGGCACTCTTCGGGTGACGGCCAGACTGTGCTCTCTGCAGCTGCAGCTTTGCCCCGTTGTGGGGCGGCCTCAAATTGCAATTGCCTGAGAGTCCACGCGAATTGCCCTCCTTGAAAGAACCACACTTATGGCACACCAAGAAACTCGTAGGCTGCTCGAGGTGCTCATAATAAAACAAATTATGCCCCCTAGGGTTGGAGGCTAGACTGGACATCTGCGGGCAGTGTCCAGGGCAATCCATTGCTCTGCATCGCTCCTCCAATGCTTTGAATGTGCGGACGCGGATGCGGCAGATCGTGCATCGGCGCTGGCCATTCACATGAGCCCAGACATGGGCCCTCGGGGACGGGTTCGCAGGACGATCCCTCCGAGGGGGCCCAGGCGGCGGAGGGGGAGGGGGCGAGGGAGGGTCCCAGGAGGCCAAGGCCGAGGCAGCCCCCGAGGGAGGGGAGAGGCTCTTGACGGGCTTGGCCAGCGCCTTGTTCCGACGAGGGGCAATCGCAGGCCACTCTCCAAGGGCATGAAACACATATCGCAAGTATTTCTTAAGCAGAGCAGTGTCGTTCTGATACTGCTCTGCTTCAGCATGACTGGGTTGGCTGCCAAGGTTCGCCGCGGCCTTGGCAATCCTGTCAGCGGCGTCATTGCCACTGGCTATCCGAAATTCTTCACTATCGGGGGGCAGCGAGTCCAGATTCTGGTGGGCCTTAACTTTCTTAAGCTTATCGCCGAGAGAGATCAGGCCTCCACCCGCAAGGACTTTGCAACCTGACCATTGGTTACGGCGAGGGTATCCAACCTCTCCGTGCAGCTGCAAAACCCCTTTATAGTCCGAATATATATTGTCAACCTGTCGAGAGAGCCTGCCAGCCGCGACAGCAGCTAGGTGTTCGGCGGCCCCAGAGGTTTGGGCCCCCAGGGACCCCACCCTGCCACTGAAAGTGGCAAATTCGGCGCCATCAACCATGCACACTACGGCAAACCCAGCGGAGTTGAAATTGTGATGACCATGGTACGTACAGCTGCCATCTATAAACAGATCCCCTGTAAACGCTTCCTCAGGACTTAAAAGGGGGTCTCGACACCAAAACCTAGCGGCCTCCAAACCAGTGCCAGCGGGAGGGGAGCCCACGAAATCGGGCGTGAACTGAAACCCAAGATGCAGGGGGGAGGTACCAGGAATTGGGTCTTTCAACCTAGCAAGCTCCCCACTAGTGAAATCTTCTCGGGCACTGGCGGTCTTGGGGCACTCCAAGAGGCGGTGTTTGAGATCATCTTTGTGGTGTCCACATAGGCATCCTTGGGGCACATCATACCCTGCTGCAAGTGCGCGCTCCATCGTCCAGATGCTCTGGGTAGCAAAGGCCAGCAACGTGCCTCTCTGTTGCTTGGACAGGTCGGTGGCACGAAGAACAGCGCGCAGTGCTGCAACATCTAGCTGCTCGCCAGGATGTCCCATCTTGGCTGCAGCTCGTTCAGCTAATCGATCGTGCCAGGCAATCTCTAGCTGCTTGGCAATGTAGGCGGGGGAGGTTCCTGGAAGGGGGTACACAAGGCCTGCAGGAGTCACAAACTGGAAGGGACCTTGAAAAGACCACCCCACCCTGGCCAACGACAGGGCCGCCGCACTGAGAGGGCCCCTACAGGAGCCCCAAGATTTAGAAACCCTCGGCAAGACAGCCTCGCCCCAAAGGCTGAGCTGCTGGAGACTGACCACGGCCGTCTCGGGCCGAGTGTGGGCCTCCCAGACGAGACGGTGCCACATAAGCGCGGGCCCGAGGCCCGCTTTCCACAGGGGGTCCTGGAGGATGAGGAGGGCGAGAGTTCGACTCCTTGAGGCACACCTAGGACCTGCTGCAGCTAAATACTGAGTCTGGGCTTGCGCGAGCATCGTGTTGTTGATGCCCGTGACCTCAACTCCAAACGAGGTGGCCGCAAAGAGGCCAGTATTATACAACTTCTTTCCATTTCCTCCAGCGTGCTTTATCATCCTGATACGGGCCATCCTTTTCTGAATCCTGACGATGCGCTCCAAAAGCTTCCTTCCCCTCCTCCATCTCCTCTGGGGTCTTCCAGCTCCGCTTTCAATACCGAGGTTGGGTCCTGAATTGTCCGTGGAGGGCCCCGCGAGCGTCCCAAGGGTCTTCCGAAGCTTGTTTTGGAGGTCTTGGCTGGAGGCGAGCACCTGGCTCTTCTTAGTGGCGATCTGGCACTTAAACTCGTGCTGGATGCAACTGGCTAAAGATCGAGCAGCCACATTCATCTGGCTGATCACTAGGTCATAGCTCTTGCCATGACACTGCAGCAGCAAATCATCGATAAACATAGCAAGACGGATGTAACAGTGTGTGCTGGTCCACTGGTCGAGGGGAGCTAAAACATACACCTGAACCAGATACGTAGCCCAACCGCACCCAGCTATGAGCCCCCTCCATGCTTTTCCAACGCTAACACACACATCTTGCATAGCAACAAATCGTGAGCTACCATACTGAGATAGTATAATACGGAGCAAGCAGCATGGAAATCCAGAAGCAGCAGCTCTCTTGGCAAGGCACTCACGATCCACATGTTCATAATAGTTAGACAGATCCCAGAGCACTTGGGCAGAGTGTTGGGGATCCTCACTGCACGCATGAAATTCACATTCAAGAGACTGAGCGTAGACCAACTCAACAATAGAGTGTCCAGCTTGATGAGCAATGTATGGCCGCCTGTGGTGATATTCCCACTCGCGGGCAGCAGACCTCCTAAGACGGGCCCACACACGATACAGAGCAGGGAGCATGCCAATGGAGCGAAAGGCTGGCTGAGCATGTATATCATCTTGCTGTTTCACTTTGAGCATGAGCGTAGATATAGCTCCCCGAAGCTGCGATGGCATGTGCCCTACCTGCTCTATAAGCTCAATCAGCTGGCAGACGAGCCCGGCTTGCTCGTCGTCTAACATGGCGAAGTGACGCGGGTG